TTCCTCGTTTAAAGGCAGGTAATTTTTTTTTTTTTGTCTTTTTTTGTCTTTTTTTCTTTTTTTTTCTCCTTATTTATTTATATTTTGTTTATATTTTATTTGTATTTATATTTATTTTTAATTATATTTTTATTCGTAAAAAAAATCTATCGTTAGGTATGGTTAGGGTTTAGGGTTTAGGGTTTAGGGTTTGGGTTATTTTCTTTATCTCAGACCCTCCTCCACGTAGCGAAGCTGCGTATACACCCGAAAACCCTAATCCAAGAATAAAGGGTTTATATATATGGGGAGGAGTAGGGCAAGGAAAGACGATGATCTTAGATGCTTTTTATGAGTGTTTATCCATAAAAGATAAAGTTAGGGTTCATTTCCATCAATTTATGCTTAATGTACATCAGGTATGCTTCTAGGGTTTAGGGTTTAGGGTTTAGGGTTTAGGGTTTAGGGTTTGGAGAATTCAGAATTTTTTTTTTAATTATTTGGGTTTAGGATGGGGTTTAGGGTTTATGGTTTTGTTTCCACAATCGGCACCTCTAAACCCTAAACCCTACATCTTAAATATCCTCAAACCCTAAACCCTAATTTAGTGTTTGCTGTTTATATATACATAGGAACTCCATCGTGTTAAGCAGCAACAGCCACCCGTTGCAGACCCTCTGATGGAGGTAGCGAGGAAGATAAGATCTTCTGCTAAAGTTCTTTGCTTCGATGAATTCCAGGTTAGATAAACCCTAAATAAACCCTAGCAAGGGTTTAGGGTTTAGTGTTTAGGGATTGGGGTGAAAAGCGTTCTCTGAATCGCTCCCGCAACTTCTAGGGTTTAGGGTTTAGGGTTTAGGGTTGAGTGGAGTGTTTTGCAGGTTGTACACATAACCGACGCCATGATCATGAAACGCCTCTTCGAGGGTTTGTTCTCGGTACGTCTAGGGTTTAGGGTTTAGGGTTTAGGGTTTAGGGTTTAGGGTTTAGGTGGTATACTTTTTTGTGTTACCCCTCTCTCATTTTATCCTCTCTCTATAGAAGGGTTTAGGGTTTAGGGTTTAGAAAAATGGTATTTGTCCGAATCTCAGTAGCACCCATCTTCTTCCCCCCCAAACCCTAAACCCTAAACCCTAAACCCTAAACCGTAGAAATGTGAATTATATGCATGCAGCTAGGTGTAGTAGTAGTATCTACATCAAATAGACCACCAGAAGATTTATATTTAGGGGGATTAAATAGGGATCTTTTTCTTCCTTTTATTCCTTTATTAAAAGGGTTTTGTAATATTTATCATTTAGAGACTAAAAAGGATTATCGGTAAACCCTAAACCCTCATAAACCCTCATAAACCCTCATAAACCCTTATAAACCCTTATAAACCTTCATAAACCCTCATAAACACTAATTCTTTGTCGTAATACTATATCCTAAACCCTAAACCCTAAACCCTTTACTCCTCTGGCGAAATCGTACAATTACCGCCTATTCTCCTTTCTACAGCACACCATATCCTTGTAAACCCTAAACCCTAAACCCTAAACCCCTGTATTTTTTTTTTCTTTTTTTTTTTTGCATAAAGGTTAGCAAAAGGAGGAACAAATAGTTGTAGATTATTTTATGTTCCTCCTCGATCTAAAGAAAAAATATTTAATAAATTAGAGGAAGCAGCAAACACTAATCTAATTCAAGGAAATTTATTATTACCAGGAAATAGAAATATAGAGGTAAACCCTAATAAACCCTAATAAACCCTCGTAAACCCTAATAAACCCTCGTAAACCCTAATAAACCCTAATAAACCCTAATAAACCCTAATAAACCCTAATAAACCATCGTAAACCCTAATAAACCTTACTAAACCATTTATTAATCTTTTTCTTTCTTTTTAGGTACCAAGGATGGGAAAAGGGTTTGCAGCATTCTCTTTTAATGATTTATGTAGTAATAATTTAGGGGCAGGAGATTATTTATTTATTTCTTCTTTTTTTCATACAATTTCTCTCTATAATATTCCTGATTTACATCTTATGGATCTAAACCCTAACGAAATCAGAAGATTTATTAGTCTTATTGATGTACTCTATGAAAGGTTTGTAGTATATAATATCCAATACAAGGGTTTAGGGTTTAGGGTTTAGGGTTTAGGGTTTAGGGTTTATAGATTTTTTTTTTTTTTTTTTTCTTAGAAGAAAACTTTCTCATAGATGTTTATGTTTATCCTTTTCTCTGATGTTATAATATTGTTATCATTAGGGTTTAGGGTTTAGGGTTTACGCCTTCTTTCTTTTTTTTTTCTTTTTATATAGGAGAATTCGCCTTTTTTTAGACGCAGAGGCCCCTCTATATAAATTTTTAGGAATTCCTTTTGTCGTAAATTTCGTCGAAAATTTTCGAAAAAAAATTCAAAAAAAATTTCAGACATTTGCTGCTGCGGTGGAGGAATTTGAGCCTGTTAGTCTTTTTTTTTTTTTTTTTTTTTTTTTTTTTTTTTTTTTTTTTTTTTTTTTTTTTTTTTTTT